CAAACGAGAATGTCATTCGAGCTATCAAAACGTTAGAACTCGCGTAGAAAGAGACAAATGCCTTGTTGAAATATGTAAGCGAAAATCCGTTTCGGTTAATGCGTCTATCTCTCCCTCTTGCCTCCTAATGCGTTTAGTTGGCGAAAAACGTAACAAATTGCTGGCGCCGTGAACGCTGTCGACTCCGTAAGAAAGCCCCGTTTCTGGCATTGACAGCTGGATAATGTTGCAAGCCTCTTATGGCAAGGCATTACGTCGCGTGGTAATCGTGTCTGTATTTCGCGTACTAATACTTGAATTGATAATTTCAGTACGTGTCATTACGCACAGAGCTACTATTATAGTGATCTGTCTGTGACAAAGTCAGGCGTATTTTTAATAGAGTGGGGAAAATGCAAAGAAATTCATGGTAGCGAGACATGATTATTGTTAAATACGTTCGCATTATTAATTCGGAAATATTATAATTATCCAATTTTTTGTTTATACGATCGTTTATACGTTAATACGATCACTTGGAATGTTTTCATACTTTAATTAAAATCACTATATTATATTTAGCAACATATTTTATATATTACAGTTTGTTTTCTGATTTATTAATATTTATTTGAGAACATTATAGGTATGAATTTAATAACTATTTTCTAAAAAAAAACATAAGCAGTAGAAACCAAATAAATATTAAACGGAATAATCACGTATAAGCTTATCATGAAAATATTTTTTTAAAAAATAAACATTACTATATTTTTTATTAATTAAATATATATTATTAATATAATATTTCATATTATTATAACAATTAATATATATTCAATATTAATTTAATAATATTTAATGTTAATATAACATTTTCTTATTGCAAGTTTTTGATATAATTAAAGTTTCGTAAAAAGTAATTATTAAAAAAGAAAAAGAATATGTTTAAATAACATCCATATAAAACAGTTTTATAACGATTGACATTTTCTCGCCGCTAGAATGTAAAAATATCCCAGGTGACTATTCACGAGCTAAACTGTATTAAATACATTTTTCAAAATTAAACTCTGTCATTTTCAGCTCTTATTGTAATTCCTAATGCACGAGTTTCGCCGTCGCGTATAAATGCATTATATCGAAAATGTTATTACAGCAAATTGAAACGTAATACGCAGCGCGAGTTCCAAATTTGTTCATAATTATATCAAGAACTTTATTTCGCGATTTTCGTGACGACATGATTTCCCCCGCGATATAGTCGCGTACGACTTGCGAGCGCCCAGAGCGCTCAGAGAGACTTGATGCGGTACTTTAAAAGTACGTGGCGCTATACCGACTACATGGTACGCTACGATTCGCTATCGTTTCGTCTAAAGTGTCTCGCGATATCGATGAGAGAACGTGGCGCGCGCCGCGCGGAACATTGCATTGCGGTCTTGAGGAAGAAATTGAACTCCGCGAAATCCAATAGGTTTCGGATCGAATCGGTGCTCGCAACCGTTCCGAAGAGCTTTATCTTCTCGACCTGGTCGCGCAGCTAAACGAGACTAAACATAATCCGCAACAGGACGTGTGTTCGGAAGTGGCTGACTGAGGGACGCGTATGCTTCTGCTATCCAGATTCCACCGCCGCCATTCGTTCCTATATACATTGGCGCGATTTTTTTGTCCGGAGACTCAAAGGCAAAAGCTATTAACATCGTGACTTTTCTTTCGTTCAACGGCCAGAACTCATTACCACGTCGTATAAGAGTTCCGACAGTTTTCGAGGTAAAGTTGGATTAGAGGTTGGCAGCTCGTTAGCCGACCTTATCGATCGTTTCTTCTGGATACCATTGTGCACGGCGTATTAATTAAAAAATGAAAATCCGGTGCCCGTCCAACACACGAGGAGTTCTGTAATCCCAAGTTTCATATCCTCTCTAGTACGCCCCTCTCTCTCTCTCTCTCTCTCTCTTCTTTGTCCAGAAACGGCCTCGAAGTTAAATTACACTGGATCGCTTATCGATTTTCAATTTACTCTCGGGTATCAATAATTCAATGAACTTTGGAATACTACTTAAACGAAGCTAGCGAAGTCTCAATAGGCTAGCTATAGTTTATCTTTTCATACCCCTCTTTCATAGTCGAGAGCATATAAATTATGGTTCGCCGGGAAAAATATGGTAGACGTTTCGAATCCGATCGATAGAATATTCTAAATGATTGTCTAGAATCAGGTACGCGTGCTAGAAATAATTAGGAGTACATGTATTCAGCGTAACCGTCGACAGCCGTGAGAAGCAACATATTCGATCTTACCAAATCATCATCGATATGGCTCTAATAAAGCGTGAACAAGGGAGACTACATATACCGTGTTCAAATTACTAGGAAATGTGTTACAGACAGGTGAGGGTGTCGAGGTGACACCTCGCAATCACTCCGGTCTGCCAATTTATCGAAAGAAAGACTAATGGTTGCCGGAGGGCATGATGCTTGGTGAAATCTGCGGCGGGATGAAGAGAAAAAGGGAAATGGAAAGAAAGATAGAAAGATAGTACGAGGAGACGGGGCGAGGAAGGGCAATGACAGATACCAGTGTCGGAACCGATCGATCTGGAACGAAATAAAATATGCTCGCGAGAGCACGGGCGTAATTACGAGCGCCGAAGAAAAATACAGCGCGCCATTACCGGAGGGTTAAGTGAACCTGCTCTGATCAGCTTGTACGGAAAGGAGAAAAAGAGAAGGACGATAGGGAAGAGGGTCAGCAGTGGGATACAGGGAGAAAGCGAGATAGGGAGTGAATAAGAACGAGATAGAAATAAAGGGGGCAGGGCAACGAGAGGCAGAGAAAGGTGAAGCCAGAGAAGTATTACTCAGATAACTGAGACGTGGAACGAATGAACGAAGGGAACTTCGGAACGGGTAGAAACGAGTCGTAGGAGGTCAGACGAAGCGACGGGGAGTGCTCGTTTTCGCGGGGACCAAGGGTGGAAAGTACAGTTTGCGTGTTCGGACGCAAGTTCGCCTTGGCTTCCGGTTGTTCGCATGCTACAAGTCCACTTGTATTAGGCCCGCCATACGAATACGCCGCACGCCCGCCCGCGGTTCAGACGTAGTCAGTCAAGACAGCACACATGAAACACACACTCTCTCTCTCTCTCTCTCTCTCTCTCTCTCTCTCTCGCGCGCATTTACGATCGAACGCACGAAAGCCGTTTTGGTTAGAACTCGCCCTCAACGCGGAAGCTAATCGCCGGTTGAATTAATTCCAGAACTGAGAATGGCTTCTACCGACATGCCGGTGCTTTACTATCTGGAAATGAAAAGATATCGGACTATCGAGTGCGACTAATGGCTGCAGGAAATGCTAGACAGAGCGCGTGCATGCAAACGCGAATTCGATTGCGGTTTAGCGCGAGTATGTGGATAAAAGGTTCGAGGTCATGCATTTTGCTAAATTCATGTGACCTGGCCGATCCTGGGGGTCGGAGGTGAACTCTGATGTGGTTAGGGAAACTACTGTAGACTAGATACAATCGGTCGTTACAACTTTCACGGGAAGGCATATAAAAGCCATTACAGGTTAGATAATTTCTATTATTACGAGTCGTGCTAAAGATAATAGATAGTTGCCTTGAGATATTACCGACTAATAACTCTATCTTAAGCTCATTTTAGATGATCTATAATTAAATTTATAGAATTTATAAATTCTGTTTATAATTTTATATTTACTGCATTTTAATATATTTGTGTTTTTTAATGTATGTGTATTCTGATTCTTCAAAAATTTTTCGTTTATATATTTTAGCATATAAAATTAGAAATATAATTCTATTTTACAATCTGACAGAAATTATGTATTATTTAAAACATATTTTATATCATTTGAAATTAAAAGAGAAAATATACATATTTTAATTTGTTACATAAAAGAATACGTTCCTACGCGTGACTCAACCTTTCTTTTGAATGAACGTGCTTCAAAAAGCTATTCAAAAACACGCGTGTTTCCTCTGTTCTTTAATTATCACGCACAATATTTCATTCACGCGACAGATCCAGCATTTCAATTAAAAATCCCTCCTGATACGAGTAAGCTTTACCCGAACGGCAGTCAGAAATCAATGAAAAATTTTCAGGATTAATTTCGAGGAAAATGGTGAAAACACCGTGTCCGCAACGCGCGCCAAATCAAAGTACTTTTTTGTGATTCCATATAGGGGTAGTTAAGTTAAATAATGAATGAGGATTGGCTAGCTGAGCCGGTCTGCTGGGGGTTCGGTTCGGTATACCGAATTGCTTTGATGTCTGGCGGCAGCCGCCGATTATGGAATCAATTATTGCGCAGTGCTCCCTCTCTTTCGTCCTCTCTAGCCTTTTCAATCCACTTGCGTACTCGCGGCTTCGGGCTTTCGCCCGCTTTCTACTGTCTTTATCTTCCCTCTATATTCCATTTCCTCTCTTTCTCTCTCTCTCTCTCTCTCTCTCTCTCTCTCTCTCTCTCTCTCTCTCTCTCTCTTTCTACTTCTATCTTGCTTCATGAAGGATGCGAAGGGAAAGATTTATTCCGTATAGGAAGAAATTATAGGGACACAGAATCACGGAGAACCGATTCTGCGGAAGGTCAGCCGAGTCTGGGCTCGGGTCCATCCATGTACATAAGGATACCCCTATTATCGTCCCATAATCTACGTCAATTACCCCCAACGACGAACAGTATCGCGGAAATAGAACCTTAATTGTTAGTATGTGCTTATTTCTCTCAGTTATCATACTCGGAATTAATTTTAATAAAATAAACGTGGGATTTTGATAAACATTTTACAAATATAACCGTTGATCATAAAAAAGCGTTTCGCCATTTGCAAAATCAAAATGATTACCTTTTTTTCAATATCTTTATTTATATAATTACCGCATTTAATTTACTTTATATGTGATTAAAACATATATTGGAATTTATATGCAATTTATAAATCTAATTTATAAAACGGATTGGAAAAGTATGGAAAAGGAACGAATTATACAAAAATTTGTCATTTATTGTACCTTATGACAATATCACAAGTGAAATATAAAAAATAACATAAACTAACGTTGAAACTAAAGATGAACCAAGTGCACCTTTTCTAGAATAATTTCTTTCATATACATTGTTTCTTCTTGGAGGCTGTAATGGAATTTATGAGATTAGTCGAGTTCACAAATATGACGTAGTAGAATTTATGTGATTATTCGAGTTCACAAATATGATATAATGAAATTTGAGATTAGTCGATGTCACAGATATTATATACATGCATATTAATATATGTATCATAAAGAGGCTTAGTCATCGCAGTTGTACGTTGTCTGCTGGTTGCTTGTGCTTTTTTTTTCTATTGATTATAAAAAATAGATGGTTACCTCAAAATTTTCTACTGATTAGAAGACTTAACAAATTGATCAGAAAATTTAACGAAATTCATTTAATAAACAATTTAAAAGAAATTTAGAAAAATGATGAATATTGCTTACTAACATTGACTCTTATTTTTTTTGCTCTCTTTGATGGAAATTACATAACGCTGCGCTATACTCAATGGAGGTGAATAACCAGTCTCGTAAGCAGCATCCTCGAACAGGATCAGGTACTCTTCCGTGGCAGTACTTGGTTGACGTTGCACGATCGCCTTGTAAAAACAAGTAGTTTGCGGGTAGAGCGCCATTACTGTGGATCCTTTCGAGAACAAGGCGTGCGGATCGGTCTCAGGATTGGCCCTCATCAGTGGCAATGGTACCACTCGTCTCCGTGACAACGTGTGGCGGTCCTTTTGCTCCTCGTCAATATCGTCCACCTCGTATTTATTTGTCGCGACAATAAATTGTACGACCTCCGCGAGTATCCAGTTCTCTCCTTCTTCGTTGCCTTTCACTAATGCGGCTACCATGTCGCCCATCTTCGCAATGTAAGTAGGCTCGGCGGGTATCGCGCCGCACAGTGGTGGTGGTTTACCGCCCGGTGTCTTTCCCACATAGAGGGGTAGGGTCTGCGCGGTGCTCAGCAGCATCTTCATCAGTGCTCCGCGTCTGATAGTCTCCTTATTGCCGGCTTGGCGTGCTTGTATGCGTCGTTCATTTCGTATCGTGCGTATCTCGTTAATCTTACTAAGAGCTTTGCGCAAGATCTCTTCTTTTTGTTGATAGTAAGGAGAAACTTTGTCGTCCGGTGTGACCTTCTCATGAGTCTTCATGATATTGTTTAGGTTATGCTCGGACCGGACTCGTTGATTCTCAATCTCGTGCACGAGATTGTAAATGTTCTTTAGGCGCTCCTGTATCTGAGTCGCCGCCGCGTCCGCCGTGAACGGCATTATGAAGGATACGATAATTTTAGGAGGTCGTGTGTTAAGTAACTTAATGGAATATGCTATTAATTGTTTCCCTGTAATGAAAAAGTATAAAATGCACAAAACGTTTTAGGAATTTTATTCCATAAAATTTTTTATTGATTTAGAGTTAATTAAAAATTAAAAGTATGAATTTGAAAAATATAATTTAATTCTATATCACCCACGTGATTTTTATTAACGTAATTACTCGCGTGAGGTATTTCTGACATACTAATATATTATATTTCAATCTTTATTGTTCTCTTTTATGATTTGCAATTAAATAAAATTAATAATATTCTTTAGATAATATATAAATCCTTTAGATAAAGATAAATACAATACAAATTTTTTTTAATTATGAACATTTGAGCATTCATATATTTTAAAGGCCAGAATGTTCCGAACACTCTACGAGAATAAAGGGGTTAACATTGGTAGCGCGTTCACAAAATTCTCACAACTAAACGATATAATATTTTTAAAAATTTTAGATTATATAAAAGTTATCAGTCTCGAACTTTTATTCCTCATAGACGATACGCTTTATTCTAAGACTGTATTCCTTTTCACACAATGATACGCATAATGTATTATATATTCTATCCTTTTTTTAAATATTCGATGAACAAAACAAGATTTCTCTTCTTTCTGAAACTTTTAGAGTGAAGATTGAAATTTGAACTGCTCGTTTTCAAGTTGGCTCAATTGTCACTCTTTAAAGTGAAATTCCAATTCAAAGAATTTAAAGAATAAAATTCTATGTTATGTGTATATAGTAAAAAATCACTCTGAATGTAATTAGCAATTCGATATTTCTCGAAAAACTTAATTCTTCTGTCAATTAAACATTAATATCAGACATGCAATTGCACGCATTATTCAGTTCCAAACTCGTTTAATGAATGTTACACCGGTTACGCGTACTACGTCCGCCAACAGCGCTCGTGCTTAACATGGCCGGCGCAATGCGACTAGATCAATAGCTTACCTGGTCGGGAATTGTCTCATATCCGGCTGGATGAAAGCTGGACGAGTCTCCGGAGAATGACGTTTCACTCAAACGTTTTAAGACACCGGTAGTTTCTACGCAGATCTTTCTAGCAGTAAGCTGTGAGGAGAGGCACCAAGCGTCTCGAGATGCTACACGTTCAATCGTTTACGCGCATCTGCGTCACACTGCTTCTCCCACTACCTTCTGGTAACAGCTGATCAACAGTCTTCTATCAAGGCGGTGCTGCCATCTCGTAGCGAGTTCTGAAAACAGAGTACTAGTGATAGTTCTGATCGTCGCAGAGCTGGAGTCACTGGTATCCATCGCGTATCTCAGGATTGCTTTTAGCAGACTAGAATTGACTCAAAGCCATTTCTTTTTTAATAAAAAAAATCTCAATCTCGTTACTCGACAAATTTATTAACCGTTAATGTATAAAATATTTTTATATCAGCGAATAATATTAATATTACACGTTGATTATATTAATGAAATGATAAATTGATATTTTTTGAAAAGACAATTAAAAAGTATCTTTTTAGAAGAAAGAAAAGTATATTAAAGTTCACGACGATGATTTTGCTTCAAACTTACTGAAATTTTATCGAATACACCAAGTCAAGAAAAAATAAAAATGACGTATTTTAATATTAAAATGATTTTTTTTACAAAATTTGATTGCTTATTGACTTTAAGTATCAAAAGATCATTTTAATGTTATTTTGATTTTTTATTAATTTTTAGATATTCCTTGAGACGGTAATCTTTTCTATCGATATATTCGAATTTAAGCATTAATGCATTGGAAAAAATAATCTAACAAAGTGCGAATAAATATTCAAGTACCTCTATATGCGTGAAGATACATAATTAATATGTTACATAAATTATCGAATTATCAAGCTTTCTCGTTAATTCGATCACAACTTTTTCTGCCTTGTTTTCTATTTGTTGTAAAAATATTAGAGTATGAAAATAAGTGATTCTTGAATATCATATATCCTCAATAATCAAGCATTAATAATATTCGGTATGCCAAAATATTTTTTGTCTCAAAATATAAAAGGTTTCCATAGCAAGATATCTAATTAATGACTTAATCTCGAATATTTAATGCTATAAATTATATGAATGGATTACCCTTTTTCGTATCTTTCTGACAGCAATGTCTATCATATAGCGATTTATACAGCTCAATGCTGTTACTGTACTTGAATCGTATTCGAAATATTTCATTAAATGTTCAATCGGACATTCCATTACTGAGGTATGTGTGCGCGCCAATGATAAAGTCGTTTCGATATGCGAAAAATTGCCGTACGCTGATAATTTTTCTTAAGACGAACTCGTTCCTCGTAGATCCAATCGTATATCGTATCGCACAGACAGGTTGACTGCGGCACCAAGCGGAGGCATACATACATTGAATGTGGCGTGTATCATCGCTAACAACCAACAGGTTAACCGCGCTAACAGCATCGATAGCACCACAGAATGCCATAACTCATTCACGCCGAGGCATGCCAAGGCTTGGGAAAACTGAATCTAATCTCTTGATTAAATTCGTACTTCCGCGGCGAGATTTCGCATTATCGTACTTTGATAAACGTAAACCCATCCATTTGTGCAAAATTCTTCACAATGAATGATAATCCGGCATTGTTTAAGAAATGAGTTGAAACTGGCATAATTATGAGAGAAAAAATATAACATATAAAAATATCGTATCGCAGAAAAAAAAACAGCAAAACTCAATATTTAACTGTTTGTAATTTTTTTTTAAATTTAACATTTGTTGTTAAAATGATAATATAATAATTTTTGGTGTTTTTACACGCAAAAACTGAAATATTAAAAAATTCAGCTGGATATATACAGATCGGAAAATAATTTTGTTGAATTATCAAAATAATTTTAAAAACTCAAGCATGATGAGCGATGTTGCAAAAAAATTATGATATTCCAGTTATTAACTTCAGCGTCCTGCGTAATTCTGTTAATAGTTCAATAAAATTTTATTTTCAAATCTTGATCTATAGTTGAATTTCAGATATTTCAGCCAAATCATTTTTTTTCCATGTATATGTGATAGAACAAACATTATGATTGCGTGTCATAAAATTACTCGCTACATCGAAAACCTGTAATGTATTTCAGTGATCGTCGCTCGAAGCATTCGTTTCGGTAAATCGTGACAAGGATTTCGCCATGACACGAAAACGTGTCGTATCGTTCTCAGATATGCGATCTCTTGACATATCGCGGCGTATTGCGCGAGATGCATCGTGTGCACGTGCATCATCGTTAACAACCGACTATTCTAACCGCGCTATAACCTGTAACAGTGCCAATGGTGCACAGGGCTATGCCATAACGCATCGCATGTAGAACTTGAGAGAATTCTGAGCTGCGTGAACCATTACGGCGTCTGCCTTCGTCTCTCGAGTGTGTCTACATACATTCGCTCTATCGTATACGTATACGTGCGCGTGTACACCTGCCGATATGCGGCCTCTCTGCAAACGTTATCCCAACCACGCACGTTTAAGCTCTTACGATCAACTCCGTGACCTATCCGCAATATATGAGATGCGTGTCACGCGTGCCACGTGTACCGCCGTACATTGCATCGTCGAGAAATAATCGTAAACGATTTGGCGGTCTAGTACATCCCAAGAGTTTCACGCATGTATGAGTAAACGTATATGTACGCGTATTATCGATTGGAATTCCCCTAGAATTCTTGAAACTCGATTTCTCTATTTTAAGTGATTTACGCGCGAAATGCAAAATATAATCATTTCAATTGTTACTGCTCTGAATTTAAATAATCTCGGTTATTCATATTTTAAATAACCTAATGTAGTTGATATTTTTTTTTTAGTCATTTAATATATACTCTCTAAAATTTTTAGAGTGAAATCTCACTCTTAAAGATTGAAAATTGAACTATTCTTTTTCAAGACTGACTTAATTTTTAATTTTTAGAATGAGATTTCATTCCAAAAAATTTAGAGAGTATACAATTCTAGAAACACGTATACGATATGGCTATTGTAACGTCGTTGATGTAATGTCAATTTAAGGAAATCTTGTTTGAAAATTTAGAACATATATAAATCTTATTTTAAAAAATAGTATACATATAATACTTTTAAATTGTATTAATGCTATTAAATGTGTCGCCTCTCGCTGTAATTACTCCGACGAAGCTCAATTCCGTACTCGTATGCTTTCTCGTCGGGTAGAAATTAAATTCTTTTTACATGTCTGACGAGTGCAACCGCGAATGAGCTATTAAAATGTATTACGGTGACGATGAACTCAGCTCACGTCACTTCAGAATATTACGTACGTACACATGTACGTAATATAACATATAAATGTGCATACATATGTACATACATTTCAAAATATAGAACAAGGTGTCTAACGAAGTAAAAGGAAAGATCCTGAGCCTCCAGCAAAGTTCTCACGCTATTTCTCGCCTTTTGTCTAAACATCTTTCACTGATATATATTTCGACTCATCACCTAATCCTGCGGCGAATTCTAAATCGAATTCTCAATGCGTTGAGTGGGCGACGATAATATTGACAGAATAAATGACGGAGAGAGAATGAACTTTAATGTATAAATTTTTATTTTTATATTTTTCTCAGTTATTACACCTTTATCTATTAACGTTTTTCACGTTTTATAAAAGATAAATTACGGTTGTTTTTTTTAAATACATATATGAAAAAAAATTTCTAGTTGAAAATGAATGAATTAGATTGTGATCAAATTAATCAAAATTCCGATTATCTCAACTAGAATTGTGATGGATTCAGTCTGAAAATTCTGATTTGTCTATTTCCAATCAGGATTCCAATTAATGCAATCAAATTTTGTTCAGTGTATCATATAGTGTATCATGTTGTGTATCATATTGTGTGTACAATACACGCACTAACGAAAAAAAAGCTTCCATATAAAAATTTATTATATCAATTGTGATGTTTATGTTTCGACCAGTGTATTCAGTAAATAAATATGATGCAAGAGAAAGCAAAATAATACAGCGAAACCATTGCGGAAACTACATAGACATTCGCATAAATTGATCGTGCGTAACGAACGGCTGATTTCATTGTGGCTCACGCGCGATTCGATTTTCATCTAATATTGGTACTTTTACGACTCACAACTTAACGACTTGTTGCAGTCGTTAATCCGGCTACGATGCCGGATGCCAGTGCGTATAAACGATATTTCAAACGGATCTTTCGTAAGGCGCGGAATGAAAATGTCAAATGCAGCTACGTTACCGTTGACGCGAACGGGAAACAGGAACCTGCAAGGAAAGCTGGGATGAAGAGTTTGACTCTCTGCGTAAACGCAATTTGTAGAGATTCGATCTTGTGACTCTCATATGTTCGTCTCTTTGTTTCTATTAGGTTGTTTGTCAAATCGTTCAGTAGCGGATGGTTCCGCCAACTGACAGTCTTCGCGTAAAACCGAGCGAATTGCGAATAAATATGTAGATAATAACTTTTCTGAACTCACATTTTACATACCGGGATTTTATCGCAAATAATTAACTATATATGAAAAAATATTGATATATTGAAATCTATAATTTATTATTACAAGCTATAATTATTATATTCGTATTTATAGTCGGGCTTTATATTTAAGGCTTCCTTAAATTTATCTTCAAATGTTCTACGAATTATTTTATAGGCTACTGAGCCTATAAAATATCTAAAGATAGATTTAAGGAAATCTTAAATATAAAGTCTGACTATAAATATGGGCATTAGATTTCTAGAAATGTCAGACGAGTACTCGTAAAAATATTATTGACATTATAATGCAACAGTTAACATTATTTCTGTAATATATATATATGTATCATAACATGACATATTATAGTATCATTATGATGAAATTATTAATATACTAATGCTTGTATAAGTTTATACATCTATTTTTCACAAAGAATAAAATATGAAAGTGTTAAAGATAAAATAATAAAGACAGAAACTTTTCTTTAATGTTAGTTTGTCTTAAAATCGAGAAAATAATAATACATACAATCATCGCAATTTTTGTATTTATTTATTTTTTATGTATCTGAATTCTGTTCTAATTTTACTGCATTTTTTTACTGTATGAATTTAAAATTTTTAGCTATCAAAC